TGCACAGGTGTTCCCCCTAGATGTTCCCCTTAGATGTTCCTGGTGCATGCCGTCTCTCTCCTCCTTTATAGTCCTCCTCCGCCAATCCTAACTCGGCTGCCCACACGCCGAGTACGCTGCTCTCCTCCAATCAGGAGCAAGTCCTACAGTTTATTGGTTGAACTGGAGGCAGCTGTGTAGAAGCTGTTTTCTTCTCTCCCAGCGCCATATTGTGGGAGAGCAGGTGCATAGAATAAGTCTTAATTCCAGTAACAGTCTAGTCCGAGCTGCTCCCCAGAAACATGACCTTGCAGTTGTCCGCCTTTGGCTCACTGCAGCTTGGCTGGTGTGACTGGCTGATAGTTAGCTACTTGTTAAGAAGTATAGTTTTAGGGCTGCTGTTGTGGCACAGTGGGTTAAGCTGCTGCCTGTGATGCCAGCTTCCCAAATGAATGCCAAGTTTGAGCCCCAGCACTTGGTTTCCAACCCAGCTCCCTGCTGAGGGGGAAGCTGCAGAAGATGGCCCAAGTACTTGAGCTCCTGCCACCTACCTGGGGCACCCAGATGGAGTTCCAGGCTCCGGGCTTCAGCGTGGCCCAGGCCCTGCTGTTGTGGCTATTTCTTAGTGAACCAGCTGATGGAAAATTGATTCTCTCTCTCTCTCTCTAACTCTCTGCCTTTCAGATAAATTATCAATTTTTTTTTTAATTTTACTTCTAAATCTTTCAATTTACATACTTAGTTATATTGCCCTTCATTACATAAGGACTCAAAGTACAGAGGCATTCTCAGGCCAAATTTAGTTGAATTTAAAAATTGAAAAAGTCTAACAAAGTAAGTTGTCTATTATCTCTTATCCAAACGACACCATATCTCTGGGATCTGTTAATTCATTTAATATAGAACATCAAGAGATCACAGCATTCAGTAAAACTCCCAAGCGTTTCTTCTAGTAGTGGGGAACCAGTTTATCTGTAAATGAAACAAAGCAGAAACAACAGTAGAGATGAAAATTGAAACTAGAGAAGCAGAGAGCCAATGAGGTTCTGTTGCCACTTGGAATTCACCTCTAGACACCAGTGAAGGGGTACATAAGCTTGGGCTTGGGCCGTTTGTGGAATGCGCTTCTCTGATGATCAGATGGAGCTGTTAGGCTTCTCAGTAGAAGCCCCTCAAAACTGTTAAAAATGACTTCTTTAAGGTATCATATTCTTGTCCTAATGTAAGATGAATGTAAGTCAAATATTCCATTTTCCTTCTTTATTAAGGAAGAAACTAGATAGCAGTTATGTGCTGTTTGAAGGAGAATTGAAACAGCAGGCACACTGATAGATTGTCAGAAGTACTGAAGTAGATTTCTTAATAAATTCCAAACTGGCTTTTTCCCTAGTGGGAAAGGGAAGTCAGTTGAACTTCCACTGGGCAGATATTGCATTTCTATAAACAAGAATTACTACTATCAGTTTTCTACAACTTGGAGTTGTTAAATAGCTCAGACATTAGCCGCCAAGCATCAAATATCCTCGAAGTGTACAAGTGGTAAACACTGAAAGCACTCACATTTCACATTTTTCTTCTCCAACCCTGATTTGACAGCTGTTAGCATTCTTGCCATATTTATCAGGTATTTATCCATTTCTTCATCAATCAACTATCTCATTTTCTAAAAAATCCCTTTCTGTGTGTGTTGCAGGCATCAGTAAGTGTGATCTTCCCAGGAGCTTCCTGGGTTAATTACGACGTGCACTTTGATATTGGACATCCTCGCCTCTAGAACTAAGAGAAATAATTTTTTTATAATTTATTCAATCTCTGGTAATCAGTTATAGTAGCACAAAATGAACCCAAACAGACTGTTGCCATTTTTTGACTTTTGTGAATAATGCTGCTGTGAAGATTCATGTACAAGTATCTGAGTCCCTATTCCAGGATTTTTTTTGTGTGTTATCTATCTGGAATTAGGATTGCTCATCTTATGGAATATCTGTGTTTAGCTTTTTGAGGAGCTGCCAAACAGTTTTCCATGATGCTTGTTCCATGTTACATTCTCACCATCAGTGTACGAGGTTTCCAACTCCTGCAACCCTCGTCAACACTTTTGTTTTTATCTATTTTGAGTTAATTTTTGTATATCATATAAGGCAAAGATCTACATTCATTCTTTTGCCTATCAGTATCAGTTTTCTAAGTGCCATTTGTAGGAGACTGTTCTTTACCATTGAGTGATCTTGGCTATAGATGCAGCTGTCCATTTTGGACTCTGAGTGCTGCTGCACTGGTCTGTATAGTATGCCTGGACCATACAGTTTTGAAGTTGGGAATTATGAGTCCTCCAGTTTTGTTGCTCATCTTTCAGATTGACTATTCTGAATTCCTTGGGATTTCATATGAGTTTTAGGACGGATTTCTCCATTTCTACCAAAAAAAAAAACACATTGATAATTTGATATGGATTGTATTTAATCTGTATGTTGTTTAGGGTAGTACCATAATCTTAACAATATTATGTCTTCTAACACATGAACACAGGGTATTTTTTCATTTATTAAGGTCATTTTACATTTCTTAATTTTTAAAAAAGTTTATTTCAGCAACCTCTTTTAAAAAAAAAAAAAGTTTGTCCATGCGCCAGTGCCTTGGTGCACTAGGTTAATCCTCCTGTGGTGCCGGCATCCCATATGGGTGCTGATTCTAGTCCTGGTTGCTCCTCTTCCAGTCCAGCACTCTGCTGTGGCCTGGGATAGCAGTGGAGGATGGCCCAAGTGCTTGGGCCCCTGTACCCGCATGGGAGACCAGGAAGAAACTCCTGCCTCCTGGCTTCGGATCAGCGTAGCTCCAGCCGTTGTGGCCATTTGGGGGATGAATCAACAGAAGGAAGACCTTGATCTCTGTGTCTCTTTCTCTCACTGTCTGTAACTCTACCTGTCAAAAAAAAAAAAGTTTGTCCATGTTTTTTTTGAAAGGCAGAGAGAGATAGACACTTCTCATCTGTTGGTTCGTTCCCTAAATGCCCACAACAGTTGGAGCCAGCCTAGGCCCAAAGCTTGGAACTTAGAACTCTATTCAGGTCTCCTGGTTGCAGGGAGTGGAGTGGAACCCAGATACTTGGGCCATCATTCACTGTGACCAAGAATGCATTAGCAGGAAGCGGGAATGAAAGTGTGAGAGCCAGGACTTCAACTGGCACCGTGATAGGAGATGCAGGTATTACCAGGTGGTGGTTTAACTCACTGCTCCACAGTGTGTACCCTTAAGCTACATTAATTTTGGAGTACAAATTTTGTGCCTCCTTAATTAAGTATATTTTTGATGCTATTATAAATGGAATTTGTTTAATTTCCTTTTCAGATTCTTCATTACTAATTCACACAAATACAGCTGATTTTTGTGTGTTGATTTTATATTCACAGCTTTGTTAAGTTTATTCTAACATGGTTTGTTAGATTCCTCAGGGATTTCTGTGTATAAAATCTTCTCATCAAAATAGTTTTACTACTTGTGTCCCAATTTGGGTCTTGTCTATTTATTTTTGTTTAGTTTGGGACATGTTAGTTTTAAGATCCTTACTAGACTGCCAATGACAAGTAGACAGAGTCTGAAGGTCAGGGATTAGGTTTGTGTAGAGAAATGAGATTGGGAATTGTCAGCCTGTGTCTGGTATTTGAAGCCACAAAGCTGCATGAGAGATCATACTGGGAGTGAGAATAGGTAAAGGAGAGAAGCAATCCAAAGTCTTGGAGAAGCAGCCTTGTATCAGAGAAGTCATGCAGTAGTCGACTATTTTCTTTTCTTTGCCTGGAGTTAGAGATGGGTAGCTCCCACATGTGGAAGCCAACGGGATTCTTTTGGAAGGTTCTGCGGAGCCATTTGGGGCTGGTCACATCACTGGGCCTGTGTAGTTTTTCAGTCAAGGTAGAATAGCAGGATTAGGTTTCGATCAGAATCTGATTTGATGATTAGAGATTCCCAGGTGAGGGCTTTGTCTCCAGCCTAGAGAGCTGTGCTATGCTGTTCTGCTTTTGGTCTCAGAAGTTAAGAGTCAAAGGCAGAGTACTCTGGAGGGATAACTGAGAGCACAGGGAAGCAGGCGTCGTTAGCTCACCTGTCATCCTTGGATTTCTGTGACTGTTTACCTTTCCATCTTCCCCACGAGCACTTGTGTTGGATAGAACATAGCCCTTCATGTCTCTCATGTTTGTCAGCCTGCAGCCCATTGAATGCCTTTTGTTCTCATTTATTTCATGTTGACTGTTCAAGACATGAGCGAGTATCCAGTAATTAACCATTCTAATATGCAGTGGGTTGCATTTGAAGTATCTTGTGTGAATTACCAAAGTACAAGAGTAATGTGAATTCATTTTTGTTTTTAAATATATATATATACATATATATAATATATACACACATATATACATATACCCGAAGAATTAACATTTGACTGAATATATGACCAAATCATTTCTGGCTGGTAGAATTAGAGGGCATTCATATTCTGTATTCCATAGCATTTCAATTTCCTGTCAGTGCATTTCTTGCATAAGTATACAACTCTAGTTGCCAACACAGTAAATGAGTCTGATGCTTCTGTGTATGAGGGTTTGCTTGGCCCATGAGCCAGAAGCACAGACTCTACTGCACACTCATGTCTGAGGCCAGGATGTGGCTGCCCAAGAGCCCCAGGAAATGCCATTCTTACCGCTCCTCACAGGTCCGTCAACACGTCCGCGTGCTCAGCAGTCCGGCAGGTGGCTGGCAGAGCAGACTTCGGAGGGAACTATTTATTTGTTCTTCTGCCTCGTGTCTGTGTTGTTTTAGATTCGTTTGGTACTAGTATCTGGATTTCCATCTCTTGGGTTCTTTTTTTCCAGGAATATGAAGGTTTTTGTCTTTGATATATGCTTAAATGTTTATTTTTTAAGTGATAATAACTTTTCAAAAAACTTATTAAAGTTTATTTCTGTGGGAAAAATATTTTTCATATGTTTGACTGTTTTTTGTTCCTTCTCTTTTGAAATCTCTAGCCAACAAGAACATTAGTCATGACAAGCATGCCATCTGAGTAAGTACTCATTGTTTTGATAACTTTCTATTATTCAATGTAAAATTTCAGGCTTTTCTCTCATGTCCTGTAGTTCTGTGTACTTTCAGGCCATTCGTAGTTCTGAACTGTATCCCTTTTGCTCTGTGTCATTCGTATCTGCGTTAGAAGATCACTGAAAATTCAGAATGTGTTTAAACGTAGAGTTCTTTGCTAAAAGCAGTCGGTGCTCACTTAGACAGCAATAAGCGCTTGTGTATGATTTTTACTGCTCCTTTGCTTGCCCACCACCCTCACTCCATGAATGTTCAATACATGGAGCAACGCTGGTGGGACGTTTCCCTTAAAGGCCTTAAAGAAACATGGTGGTGGGAAGTGCTCAGAAGCTGTGTGAAGCAGCTATCCGCACAGTTTGTGGAAGGGTTAATAGCTTGTTGGCATGCTCTTATCATCTTTCTTAAATACTTAACACACTTGAGAACATCCAACAAAAATACGGTACTATATTCTTTTTAACAAGTTTTGGATTCCTGTTTTAAGGGGAAAACCAAGATTTTTATTATCAATCATAGGTTTTAAGTTTTTAGGACATTCACCAAAACACTGGGACACTCCCATAAAAAGTGCTTCAAAATCAGTGCCTGCGTAGGACACTCTCAGCGCCAGGACGCTCTCCCTGCCTGTGGTTTGAAAATGAAAAGATTGGCAGCCAGGGTTCTGGCATAGAGGGTGAAGCTGCTGCCTGCAATGCCAGCATAACGTACAGGCAGTGGCTCGAGTGTTGGCTGCTCCACTTGTGGTCCAGCTCCTTGCTTTGCACCTGGGAAAGCAATGGAAGATGGCCCAAGTGCTTGGGTCCCTGCACCTATGTGAGAGACCTGGCTGGAGGAAGCTCCTGGTTTGGCTTCTGACAAGACCAGCTCTGGTTGTTGCAGCCATTTGGAGAGTGAACCAATGGATGGAAGGCCTCTCTCTCTCTGCCTCTGCATCTCTCTCTGTAACTCTGACTTTCAAATAAATAAATCTTAAAAAAAAAAAAAAAGAAAAGAAAAGAAATGGATTGGAAATTCAGACTCTGCATTAGGTAGGGAAAAGAAAGCTCAGTTTCTGTAACTGTGTTATGAAATATATTAAAAATATAAATAAATGGATATTGAATATGGGTATTTTTAAGGTCTATTTGCCCTCTAATTTTTTTAAAAAATATATTATTTTTTATTTGAAAGGTGGAGTTAAGAGAGAAGGAGAGACACAGAGAGCTCTTCTATCTGCTGATTCACTCACCAAAAGGCCACAGGCATTGTGGCTGGTCCAGGCCAAAGCCAAATACCTGGAACTCCATCCGGTCTCCCATGTAGGTTGCAGGGGCCCAAGCACTTGGCCATCTTCCACGGCTTAGTCAGGTGCATCAGCAGGGAGCTGGATCTCTCCCTTAGATTGAAGTGAGCATTAATAGCTAGGTACTGGCCGGTGCCACGACTCACTAGGCTAATCCTCTGCCTGCGGTGCTGGTGCTGGCATCCCAGGTTCTAGTCACGGTTGGGGTGCTGGATTCTGTCCCAGTTGCTCCTCTTCCAGTCCAGCTCTCTGCTGTGGCCCAGGAGTGCAGTGGAGGATGGCCCAAGTGCTTGGGCCCTGCACACTTGGGAAACCAGGAGGAAGCACCTGGCTCCTGACTTCAGATCAGTGCAGCGCGCCAGCTGCAATGCACTGGCCTTAGCAGCCACTTGCGGGGTGAACCAGCGGAAAAAGGAAGATCTTTCTCTCTGTCTCTCTCTCTCACTGTCTAACTCTGCCTGTTCAAAAAAAAAAAAAAAAAAAAAAGCTAGGTACTTACTCATTCAAGAGTTGGGAAAGAAAAGTCTTTGGTTTAGGCATGTTTTTGTCTTGGTCTTTATTCTTCTCAAAGGCCCTTAAGAACTCAGTGTGGATATTCTGACTCCATACATTCGTTAGCATAGCACATCCTGCCAATGACTGGCAGCTGCCAGAGGGTTCGTCTCGAGGAATCGTCTCCTTTAGAGGCAAGAGGCATTTACTTCTTTTTCCTTTGGATTTTGCTTTCTTTTGTCTTATTTTTTCCCCAGATTTACTGATTTTCACGGCACCAAAGAGCAGCTATTCCCTGTTTGAGGTGCTGAGGGCCCTGGATGTTGACTCATCCATCTTCCCTTCCCTAGGGATTCACTAGTAATTGCACACTGAGACGTAGCTCAACCATTTGATTCTACAGATTAAGAAACCACCGAGGTCCTCAGATGGACTTGCCCGGGATGGGTAGAGAGGGGGGCTAAGCAGCAGGTGCCTGGGAGGAGGAGTGGCAGAGGCAGCCTGGATGAGCGTGGCCGGTGACGCCCCCTTCCCCTTGAAACTTCTGGACAGGAGAGCCGTTCATCTCTTAGCTCAACTCTAGTGTGGCTTAGCAAGCCTTTTGCAGCCTTGTATTGAATTGGTGATTTCCAAAATTTGCCAGCAGAGAGAAGCAATGCGTCGGAGCCAAAAGTATCAGATTATAAAAAGGGAAAGAAAAGCAAAAGTAAGTTATTCAGAAAGGAATTTAGACAGAATTTTTTTATATAAAAAATACTTAAAGGCATTAAGAGAATGACAGACCGAAAGACAAACAGTAATGAGCTTTGTAAGATTAAGGAGCCTCTGTCACATTTGCCCTAAAAGTTAATGAGTTAATTAAAAGAATCGTTTTTGTTCCTTTAGAAGGAAAGCTGTGTGTTTGACACTCAGTAAATGTTTTATTTTCAGAACAAAATAACTAAGTGAGAATTTTGGTCCTGACCATGTGCACACTGGTTCAAGTACGCCTGAGAAGTAAATAATTAGTGTAGTTGGCAGAGCTCTCGGCTGTTGTCAGGGGGTCTGGTTTCTGGTGTTGGCTCTGTCTTCACCAGCCCAGCAGCCCCCGGGCAGCCATTGACAGCTTCTTGGCCTGTTTTCTCAGCTAGTAAAACAGATTAGGTTGGGTCCAGAGCTTACTGGTTTTTTTTTTTTTTTAATTTACGCAAATTTCAAGTCATTGATTGTAAAGAAATTACGACATGAACACCACAAACAAAATGGATTAGAAATTTTTGGTTTCTAGTTATTTTTCCATTGTTCAGTGCAATCACACTGGTTCTTATGTGCAGCAAACACATTCATTTTGTTGATTTGTTCTTTTCCTTGTTATGTGATAGGAAGCAGAATGTCATCATCCAAGTCGTGAGTAAGCTGAAAGGCTTTGCGTTGGCAGCGGAGGTCTGTGACACCACCACCCACGTGCTGGCCGGGAGGCCCGCGCGCACCCTCAACGTGCTACTGGGCCTTGCGCGTGGCTGCTGGGTGCTCTCCTATGAATGGGTAAGCCCTGCGCTCAGATCACGTGTCGTGACGTGGGAGACATCTTCCCAAGGTGATGACAGCAAACACTTGAGGCAGGGTCGCCCTCATGGGTCCTCATGTTTTCCTGAGAGCCTGGGACGCAGTTCTTTCCTTGTGTCCTCTCCTGTGGGCTGTTTCCTCTGGCCAGGGCTCGGCCCTCAGGTGGAGTGCAGGACCCCAAAAGCAAGTCCTCTCAGCCACTGGCAAGAAGAGGATAAGAACAGACTTGGAGTGAACACGCGAAGTGCGTGTTCTCACAGTCAGATGAACTGTCCCCTGTGTTTGACCAAGAAATAAAGTGACCTGTGCAAGTGATGGTTTGAAAAGCCAAAGGAATTCAGTGATTGTTGTTACAGATGGAGTTAGTTAGGATGAAACATGTTCCTTTAATCCGCTTTGGATGTGTTTTCTCTTGTATTCACACATCTATTGCTAACATTTCTTTGCCTTATTTCTGTGTGTTAAAGGTGGTTCTCAAAAATATAGCACTGTCCTCATTATTCATGAGAATTGGAGTTATCTGTTATTGTTCTATGTTTTTGTTTGATCCTCAACCCAAGGTCACTGCACAGCATTCTGCCTACTGGGCAGAGCATTATTGTTGTTTGTGTTAGTGTTTTGTGCCCTCTTACCTCCTCCCCCAAGAATGTACTGTATTAATATGCTAAGTGAAACCAGTAGAATTGTAATATGCAAACAAGCTACAGCTGTGCTTTCAAGTATGGCTGTGGTTTTCTTCCTGTGTCATAGTTTAACCCTGCACTTCTCTGTTACAAGAAGATTCAGATATTAGTGCATAAAGTCCTGACGGGGAAAAAGGTTGGAATTCCCTAAAAAAAATAAAAAAGAAAGATTGAAAAAGTGCCATCGCATTGGTGACACTTAGGGATTACCCTGCTTAATTAGACACCAAAATATACAAAATATGTACAAAATGTACAAAATATAATTTATACCTCCAGCTGTGATGAATTGATTCTGGATTTTCTTTTTTTCAATTCACAATGTCTCTGTATTTTCATCAGTCTGCTCTTCCTTCCCTGATGTTTCAGAGGAAAAATGTGCTTTATCTTTTACAAAGATGCACATGTGTACTTGCCACTGTACCCACTCTCCGCTCTGGGCTTTGTGTGGCACAGAGACATTAGACATGAGAATTTACGGCACAGACTGCCGACCTGCAGGCGGGCCTCCCTCCCAGGCCCGGCATGTCTCTGTGTGTTGTCCCCTGGGGTTTTCCCACTCATCCTCATGGAAGGAGAGTCAGTTTAGATTCAGCCCAGGCCTGCTCTCTGTGGAGGGACCTGAGAGTGTGCAGGGCAGACTCTTTCCCTAGAGGGAAGAACCCCAGGCCCTCCACATGGCTGTGAGTGAATGAACAGTGGGCAAGTGCGGTGTCGCGAGAGAAGGGAAGAGTTCTATAGGCCAGGAAGGTGGAGGCAGAGTTATTTCCATTCATGGACAACATGAATGTCTCTGTAGACAATCTCAAGAGATGTCTTAAAGCTAATAACTGAATTTAACAAGCTGTCAGGAGACGAGGGTACACTTACACAAGGTGTGCACTGAAATACTTGAGTGTAAGTCCAGTAAAATATGCTGAACACAACAAAATGCCGATTTAAAAATTTGAGGAAATATTTAAGAGTCAGATTAAGTTCATGGATTGGGGACTCAGTATATTTTACAATATTGCTCTTCCCCAAAGCGATCAATGGATTTAATACTATACACATAGAGAAGCTGAAGTAACTGCTATCGCCATTCTGAAAGAGCAGAACAAAGTTCGGAAGACTGGTATCCCTTGATTTTATTAATTTTTAAGAGTTATTTATTTATTTGAAGATCAGAATTAGAGAGAGGGAGAGACAGAGAGAGATCTTCATCTACTGGTTCACTCCCCAGTGGCTGCAATGACCAGGACAGGGCCAGCCTACGCTGAAGCCAGGAACTTCATCTGGGTCTCCCACATGGGTAGCAAGGGCCCAAACACTTGAGCCATCCTCTGCTGCTTTTCCCAGGCCATTAGCAGGGAGCTGTATCAGAAATGGAGCAGCCAGGACACATACCAGCACCCACATGGTATGCTGGAATTGTAGGTGCCAGTTTTACCCACTGTGCTGCAATACCACCCACTCACAATTTTAAGGCAACCTTTAGAAAGACAGTAACCAAGGCAGTGTGGTGTCAGCAGGTAGAGTGGGGCAGACTGGAGAGTCCAGAGACAGTCTCAGAAATGTGGCCTTGTTGACTCTGAAATTCAGTCATTTCAAAAAGTTAAAGAACTTTCAGTATTTTCAACAACTGGTGCTGGAACAACTAGACATCCACAAGCAAGAACAGGAACAACAGCCTACAGCTCACATGGCATACAAAAGGGTTACAGAGTAAAGTACAGGTTTGGGTTTTTTTTTTTTTTTCCAAGATTTATTTATTTTAAAGAGTTAGATACAGAATCTTCCTTCTACTGATTGACTACCTAAATGGCTACAATGGCTGGATCTGGGCCAGTGTGAAGCCAGGAGCAAGGAACTTCTTCCAGGTATCCCACATGGGTGCAGGTGTTGCTGTGGATTTGTTTCTGAGAGGAAGAGCTTGGCGGTGGCAAGAGGCGCTGAGTCACCACATAGACCCCTGGAGTCGCGTGAAAGCAGGCCTGAGGCAAGCAGCCTGCAGACTCGTTTATTTCAGTTGCTACAGCAGCTTATTTAGCCAAGGCAGCCAATCCAGTCAAGGGGCGGTCTATGCCCTAACCAATTACACCCTGTTGCCAGGCAGTTTCCGAAGCTATCCAGTCACAGCCTATTGCCAGGCAGGCTATGTTGTCATGTGGTTTCCGAATCTATCCAATCACAGCCTGTTGCCAGGCAGGCTCCGCTGTCATGTGGTTTCCGAAACTGTCCAGTCACAGCCTGTTGCCAGGCAGTTTCTGTTGCCAGCTGCCATCTTGGCATGGCCTACTCATTCCACCACATGCAGGTGCCCAAACACTTGGGCCATCCTCTACTCTTTCCCAGGCACGTTAGCAAGGAGATGGATTAGAAGAGGAGCACCTGGAACTCCAACCTGTGCCTATGTGGAATGCTAGCACTGAAGGCTGTGGTTTTAACCCACTGTGCCACAGCGCTGTCCCCTTGAAAATCAACTGTCTTTATCACAAACATTTTATATGCAGCTATTCCAAAAGGATTGGTTTCATTAGGGTCATGATCCCTTTGGGTAGTCAGTAAATGTGTTTCTGCTAAAAAAAAAAAAAAAAAAAAAAAAAAAAACCTTTTACATTTTTATTTCATAGGTAAGATTCTAAGAAGATAACTGTACTTCCTTCATTGCCTCCTTCCCTCATTCAACCCCCTCTCCCCCTCTCCCCGATCCTTTTATTTTTTCAAAAATTTCTACAAAAACATAATTTCAATTTTATTTATAATCACAGGCTGAATGCACCACTACCCATAATGTTCAAGAATTAAAAGCAGAAAGACCACAGTTCCACAGGAATATAGACAGAGTATTGCCACCGCCCCCAACACACACACACACACACACACAAACACACACAAACAAAACGTGCATGCCCGGAAGCATCTAATGTAGCTCCAGGAAGATGTCTCTGTACCTCTGCTGCTGCCAGTTCATGGCCTGGCTCCTGCACCAGGTGCCCTGCAAACAACGGGACAGCTTCTCAGTGCTCCTGTCACCTTTCCTGCTGCCTCTGCTTGCAGGACGTCCCACCCACCAGTATTTAAGTTTAACTTCTCTTCTATGTTAAAAAAAAAAATGTGATTTAAAAGAATAACTTTCCCTGGGTTTCTCTTTGCCTTCCACACTACATTTTCCTCCTCTTCCACAAGCAAAACCTCACAAAGACTTGTCTGTGCCTGTGGCCAGTTCCCGGCTTCCCTTTCACCCTTCAAGGCATTCCATCTGGGCGTGACCTGCTCCGTGGCACTGAAAGTCTCCTTGCAAAGCCACCAATATCCACTGCATGCTTCCATTAATTAAGCAATGGCAGATTATTATGCAGTCAGCACCTTATGACTATCACCCAGGCTGAGCAAAAGAGCATCACCTAACCTCTGGAAGCCCCAAATGTACCCCCAACGTCCCCTTAAAGGAACTCGCTGCATTACCTTTTTATTTTTATTTTTATTTTATTTATTTATTTTTTTTTTTTGACAGGCAGAGTGGACAGTGAGAGAGAGAGAGACAGAGAGAAAGGTCTTCCTTTGCCGTTGGTTCACCCTCCAATGGCCGCCGCGGCCGGCGCGCTGCGGCCGGCGCACCGCGGCCGGCGCACCGCGCTGATCCGATGGCAGGAGCCAGGAGCCAGGTGCTTTTCCTGGTCTCCCATGGGGTGCAGGGCCCAAGCACCTGGGCCATCCTCCACTGCACTCCCTGGCCACAGCAGAGGGCTGGCCTGGAAGAGGGGCAACCGGGACAGAATCCGGCGCCCCGACCGGGACTAGAACCCTGTGTGCCGGCGCCGCTAGGCGGAGGATTAGCCTAGTGAGCCGCGGCGCAGGCTGCATTGCCTTTTATGGTAATCAGCCCCTTGCTTTTCCTTACAGAGTTAGCATTTGGAAAATATAGCTGTTAGCCTATTTTCCTGCTCTTTGTATTAATAGAGTCATATGAGAATTAGAATGAGCAGTATCGTGAAAACGTGACCCTGCTCTCTCCCCGTGGGCTGCCTGTCTGCGAGCCAGGAGCCCACGGGTAGGAGGGTTCTCTTCTCCTGTAGCAGGGCCAACCCCCGCCCAGCTCCCTGCAGACCCCGTCTCCCCTCAGGACCTTAAGCCTCCAGATGAGGCAGTGGGACTCCAGGCCAAAACTTGGCTGTCTCAGGCTGCCCATGACCTCCTTCCCAGCTGCCGGAGGCCCTGTGTGTGCTGGGCAGGGAGGGACAGGCGTGCCCTCTGCTAGGAGGGAGGTGAGGGACACAGCTTTCTCCATCTGGGCAGCTTCTGCCTGCTGTGGGG